GATCAGCATTTTGTGCTGAACGTTTTAAAATGTTTGGAAAATGCAGCATAAGGGAGATTGAAGGTGCTATCTTTAATTAGACTAGCTTAAAAAATTAATATAGAAAAGTTTTCTCCTTGTTGTGTTGCTATTGACCTGACATTAAGAATAGCTTGTGCTGGTCTGCAGGAGTAGAGGAATATATTTTGCTTTTGGTTTTTTTGTGCTTCAAATTTTGGTGAGACAGGAGAGGTTGCTATTACATTTAGGAAAAAAAAAAAAGGCCTGAGCATGAATAGGAAATATTTTCAAAGGTCTTTTTAGGTGTTGGGCTGCCTGTGATGATCTGTTCATGGATGCAGCTGGGAAAGGTGTTGGTAATATCTTTTTGTCAGTTTACAGCCAAGAAGGTCTGAAAGGTAGATGGATTTTTTTTTTTTTTTTAACCTGGTGAGGCTCCTTTGGTAATCACTGCTCAGAAAGTAATGGCATTATGGAATGGAATTGAAATTGCCTGCTTTGACCTCAAAATATTACTTTGTCATCCTTGCCTGTCTCTCTCCCTTTCTCCCTGGAAAATTAACATTAGATAAGAGTGAGGTAGATTCTTTTCTAGCTTATTCATTAGCAGCAGCAGCAGTGTTGTTAATTATGTTTAGATTGTAGAGGCTGTATTATGAGTGGCCAGAGAACACAGAATTAGTTTCAGATTTTTATAGCTAGAAGGTGGGAAAATCCTCCTCTGGGTTGCAGACTAAGCAGATTTCCTCTGGATATCACTGAAGCAATAAACAATAAGCTGCAACTGTTTTATCATAGCTTTGTTCTCCATGCACAGATTTTACTGTGAGAAATAACACAGCCCACTTCTTGGAGTATTTTGTTCACTTTATTTACATGCGTCATATTCGCAGCTTCAGCTGGTAGCGTTTTCTTCTTTTTTTTTTTAATTCTTACAAGAGCAGTCAGAATGTTCTTGAGGAGCCTATAACCGTTTTTTTGGATCCTCCTATATGAGTTAGAAGCCTGCCAAAGCCTACAGCCATCCTCCCTGAGCAACACTCAGCAGCAAGCAGGATGGGAGCTGGTTATTTGACATAATAAATAGCTACAGCCTTTCTGTTTATTTTTAATTTTGCAATTTATTTAAATTTTCAAAATGCTTTCAAAATTTATTTTAAAGTTTAAATTTATATTTTTTAATTTTTTAAAATTAAATTTATTAATTTATTTTTAAAGTGTAAATTTATTTTAAAGTTTTAAAATTATTTAAATTTTCAAAATGCTTTCAAAATTTATTTTAAAGTTTAAATTTATATTTTTTAATTTTTTAAAATTAAATTTATTAATTTATTTTTAAAGTGTAAATTTATTTTAAAGTTTTAAAATTATTTAAATTTTCAAAATGTTTTCAAATTTTATTTAAACGTTTCAAAATGTTAGCAGAGATTTTTTGATGTAGCCAGGATTAGAACTGGTTTTAATCAGTTTGTCTGTCTGTGACTCAAAATATCTGAATCCTTTGTTAATAAAACCCCACCCTGAGCACAAGTAGAAGGGAGTGTGGCACTGCAAACACATTTATCTTACAAAACCCCTCTCTCCCGCTCTTGCCATGCCGACGTGCTGTGGTACTGTGTTGGTGACAAACTGAACTGAAGGTCTCCAATGCACCTGACAGTGCTCTCTGACTTGCTCAGTCTTCTGGAAGAGACCTCTTCAGAACTGCACTATATTGCCTTTATTCTCCTTTGTCCCTTTCCAAGTGCATGGGGATTTTACTGGTCACTGGGATGTGTTCAGCATTACAAAAGTGTTTCTAATAACCAAATTTTACTCGTGGTGTCTTTATAAACTCCCTCAGGTCTTCCTCATGATTTCTTCTTCTGAAGTTGGTTTGCACATGTTCCTTTGGGCTTTTTGCATCAACACTTGCTAAGTCCTGTGTGTTGATAAGACATGCTAGCACATTCCTGAGGACTCCCTGGAAGCACAGGGCACACATTTCACTGCGTGGAGACAGTGACAAACCATGTTTAAGTTGGTCCGAAGCAGGGCCGACCCTTCTCAGCCCTGAGTTCCTCAGAATTTAGTGGAAACTTCAATGTTGGATGACGAATTTGAGGTGGAACACGAAACAGTCCCTTTCATCCTCAGCTGAAGTGCTGGTACTCATTTTGTCCTTGGTAATTAAAGGGTATTTCTTGTTTTTCTCACTCTTTCAAGTCTGTATCAGTAAGATCTTTGGAGTAATTGCTCAGAACAATAACGGAACTAATGGAAGTAGAACATGACTGATCTCCTTGGCTGGGAAATTTGTGAAAGGGAATGAAAAAAGGGAGAATTTCCCTGTCAGAGCTGCAGTTTGGAGCTCAGTGGGGTCTGAGAAAGAACTGAAAGAGCAGCTCTGTGTCAGCTTTGAAGAGGTAAATCCTTGAATTCACAGTGAGTAAGTTGCACATAACAGGAAATATCAAACTGTTAAAAATTCTGATAAATTTCAAGGAAATAAGCAACTAGTGTCAGAGAAATGGGCGCAAGAAATATTTAAAACGAAAACTAATGCAAGTAGAGAGAAAAACAGACAAGGATTAAAATATATCATAAGCACATCACAACTAATTCATCTGATAAAGGAAGATACAAGACAGAAGAGGTGATTGATGTAGCTCAAAGATTTGATGGTACAAAGCCACCTTTACTTGAAATGATGAAAGGAAATAGGGCAAAAATCAGAATGTTGAGGATTATTTGCGGTGTAAAGAGAGGGAGAGTAATCAAAAAGGTTGAGTAAATTCTAAAACGAAGTAAGAAATGGCTTATGGTGGATGTGGGGCGGGGAGTATAAAGAAATCATTACTAAACGGAGAGTCACTCAGGAATCTAAAATGGATGAGCCCTGAGCTGATTTCATAAATGGGCCTTGACAAAGGGGAAAACACAGCAGCACAAGGCTATCTGTGAGTAATGGAAACATTTCACAACGTGGGATGTTAATAGAACACTTGGAAAGGAGGACTATAAATAGAAGACCACTTCCATGTATGTGTCCTTTATGTAAAAGAAATTCCTTGGTATTTTTTTGCAAAATATTGAGAATTTGAAAGATAATAAAGTGTTGAGCAAGGGACTGCAGAATCCATGTGAGGAAGACCTTTTCCTTTTTCTCCTTTCAAAAAAGGGATTCAAGTCAGTGTTGCTCACTACATGGTTAAATATTGTCCGAATTTTTCTGGCTCATGATCTGTGAAGCACAATCACTGAAAAGCTCCTACACTCGAAAGCGTGTCTGTCATGAGGCACCTCCTGCTCCAAGACAGCAGCCTGGATGGCTGTTCTGGTCTTTTTAGTAAGTGTGAATGACTCTGGGTACCTAAAGAAGTAAAATAACTTTTTGTTTAGGACATGTTATTCCTGTAAATTTGAATCAACCAGACTGGATTTATTCTGCTGGTGAATCTTTGACAGAACTAATGTCTACTTAGCCCTAGGAATGTGAATGCCCTGGGAAGCATCAGGGTACCAGCACTGCATAGAGAATGTGAGGTTTGCACTTCCAGGGAGATGTAATTTTAGACCTCTGGCTAATGGCTGGTCATAGTAGGTGCCTAAAATAAATAGAAGATTTTTATCAGTAACTTCTGATCAAGGATTATATTGTATTTGAGAAGAGTGACAGTGACAGCGTTGCAGGTTTCATCAAATTGGATGTAAATTTCTCAATAATTTTTGTATTAATTTCTGCATGCAAGATGGCACAAGTGAATTCAGAAGGAACTGACTGATGTGAAAATATGTAAGGTTGACACTACAAGCCTAAGATTTTCCCCATACTGCTCAGTAGAGGACCCAGACCAAAAAAAAAAGGTTGAATTAGTGCCAAGCACAGGCAGTTGGAAAAATGATGGAAGAGTTGCTGGGAGATTAGTAAATGTGGATCCCAGGCAGTACCATTTCTAAAATAACTTTTCTTTGTAAAACTGTGTTTAAGGGTTGGAAGTCATGATATATGAAGAAATATTAAAAGAATTAGATCTGTTTAATTTGGCAAAATAAATGAAGAGTGTTGTACTTGTCCACAAGCATATGAAGAGCATAAACAGAAACCATGGAGAAGAATTGCCTTGGACAGGGCCTAAGGAATGCAAATTAAATGTATTGTGATCATAATACAAGAAGGAAAATGTATCTCAGATATCAGGTAATATCCTCCATTAGCAAGATTTATGAGACCCATCATGATGGGAATATGAAGGAAATGATGAAAAGTCCATTGACTGAGTCAACTGAAATTGGATTAGAAGGTGTAGAACACTTCAGCCCTGAAACAGGAATTGTCACATGCCCAGCAAATATCACAGACTTGTGAGACTGTGGCACAGCACAGATGTATTTCAAGGTTCTCTCTTGTGTCAGAGATGCTGGTTCTGTCCTTGTGTGTGAATGCAGCTGGGCAATCTCTGAGCAAGTGTGCCTTGGTCGTGCCTTGGCTTCTCTCAGCTGAAGTTCCATGTGAATCTTGTGGCAAAGAGTCTTCATAAACAATAGCACAGTAACATGTTCCTTCACCCCAAGAGTGTCCCTGGAACCAGAGGGCTCCACAGGCAGCTGGGGACACAACATTTTGGTCTTACTCTACTGTCTGGCTCCCAGGTACCTGCCCAGAGGGCTCCCAGACTCCAGGGCTCACTTCAGAAACTCAGGAGTGTTGGTTCTGGTTGCCTGACACTGTGCCGAGAACTCTGGCTCTTGTCTGGTGATAAGCCTAAGTGATAGACTTGGAAGGGGTGCCACTGGTTCTCACCTTCAGCAGCTTGCTCTGGGAGCCGGCCGCTGCCGGAGCTGCGGCAGGGCTGCGTTGGCACCCAGCACCAAGGGTGCCCCTGGCACTGCTCCGCGCCTTGTGTCATGCTCAGCACTAAGGAACTTCACAGTTTACTGAGCCTCTCCACAACTGGCTTCACCACAGCTTTTGTGGGCAGTGCTCCTGTTGTGACAGCTGGTTTTGTTTAGATTCTTACCTGAGATCATGGCTGCACTGTTCAGCTCCTGGAAACCTTGCATGGTAATGGCTGGTCAGCTTTTGCCCCGTCTGAAATCCTTACGAATGCCAAAGTTGGCGGTTCCCTTGTATCATGTCACCAAGGCTCAGCCTTCAGTAATTTGCCACTTTCCCTTCAGGGAATCTGAGGCACCGCACCTGCACAGAATTGTTTAGAAGAATTTAGAAGGTTGGTCATCTTTGAAAGGTGCCTTGTGGATCTAGATCAGTGGTCTCCATAGTGGGACATACAAGACTATCTATTAGGGTGCATGAAGATTTTTTTTTTTGCAGTAATAAATTTTAATTGAGTGTTTATTTCATCCTTATCCTTTGTAAATGCCTAATTTTGTGTATGCTTTATAAAGTATATAATAGAGTAGTATGTGGAGATAATTTATAGATAAATACACATACCATGGTGTGCACACTCAACATGTTTTTACTAATCAGGTGCACAATCAAAAGTTTGGAGCCCGCTGATCTACATGTTTAGAAAAGGATGAGAATGATGGCTGTGGCACAAAGATCTTCCACAAAGAGAATCCTAAAGACTGACGATAACCTTTGAGGAGGGAATATGACACAAAGTAATGAAAAGTAATGAAAAAACCCTTGGCAATGCTGCTGGGACAGTCTGTGTTTCCTTGTGTTGTTGAGTAGATGCTGGAACTCTTTCTCATGTATCCCAGGGTGTATTTCAGCCTTATGTAAATCCACAACTGCTGTGTAGTCAAATAATGTCATCTATCCTGCTTCTCTGCCTGCTTGCTGTCTCTTTGTTGGGTCCAGCCTGGTTCTCTGTATCCACCTGCTCTCATGGAGCATCCAGGCCTAGTTTGGACAGTCAGGCAAGCACAGTCCTGGAAGATCTGTCCCCAGAAAAGAGCAGAAACAGGGCTGGTTCCACTAATGGGCTGCTGTCCCATTTTCAGCTGTAGCTGGTAGCTGCAGCCACAGTCCTATCATTGAGAGCATTATTTTATAGTCTTTATTATGGCATCATATAGGTGGCCCAGGGCTTCAGCAGACCCACTCATAGTGCCACAGCCGTGGCTCTGCCCAGGGGAGGCCTTTGCAGGACGGGGAAGTGCTGACTATGGAAAATGGTGTCAGTTTTTACACTACCAGACCTCTGATTGGCACCTGCCATCTGATCTTTCTCCGAGGCAGAGAACACAGTCAGGTCTCAGCAGTTTCTGTCACACCGTGCAGGCGGCATACCTGTTTGCCAAAGATACGTGCTGCCAAACTTTGAGCTGTCATTCCAAATTAAGATGTTAGAGCTTTCCTTGCCTATGATAAGTCATTAAATATTGCTCAATTACCCTTGCATTGAGCCTTTTTTTAAACTCAAGCTTACTTTACTGAAAGGCATCCTGTCTTGATTTGGAGATATTAAAAGATGAAAAATCCTCCTTCCTTTGATAGGGCAGGGTTTTTAATGTCTAATCATTCTCACTGTAAAACTGTGCCTGATTTCCAATTTAAGCTGGTCTGGCTTCAGCTTCCAGCAATTGGTTCTTGTTATGCCTTTCTTGGCTGGATTAAAGAGCCCTCTAGGACCTGGTATTTTCTCCCTTTGAAGGTACTTATACATCGTAATCAAACCATCTCTTGATCTTTTTAATAAACTAAACAGATCGAGCTCCTTAAGTGTCTCATTCTCAGGCAGCCATTCCAGTTCTCAAATAATTTTTATGACTCTGCACTGTCTCCAATTTTCCTGTGTCCTTTTAAAAACACAGCCACCAGGAACAAAGGCGCTCAGGTATTTATAGTCAACTGCTTGCTCCTTTTCCCAAAATCCTTTAGATTCTCTTATTTCCATGCTATGGGTTCCCCAGTCTGTAGAAGACTTTCTTGCTCCTAGAAACTATGACTGCTGATGTCATTTGCTCCCAGTGCTCCCAGGCATGTAATCTAGCACCAAAAAATGTGTGGGCCTTTGTTCTGATCAGTGTAACTGTTCTTTAACTTTTTTTTGCCCATTTGTAGAAGCTATTTTAAATCATTAATGCTCAGGAACTGGATCTTTGTGTATTTTACATTCTGAAAGGACAAGAACTTGAGCTGTTTGGGGCTGTCCAAAATCACCATTGATTGTAACTGAGCCTGTTTGTTCTTGTAGGGGAAAATCGAGGTGTCTACCACCCTCCAAAAGTGATCTCAGTAACCAAAATGATGTTTCAGTTCAGGCAATGGTCATAAGAGATAACACAGGGGGATTGGCCAGGGAGGACAGAGTTCAGGAACCACTTAGACTTCTTTAATGAGCCCAGGAAGCTGCCCTGGTTTGTACAGGGAATTATGCTGTCCGTGAGGATTTTCTAAACCCGTCTAGTGCTGCTTCTCAGACTTGGCTGTTGCTTTGTTGGTTTTGTTTTTCCTGCAATGTATCTGTGTTTATTAAGGAGATAGTGGATGATCACTCCCCATCCCAATAAAAAGGAAATTTTCCAGGTATTACCTTGGTGAACTTATTTCTATTGCAATCCCTTATCCCCTTTTGGTGCCCTTTCCAATTCTGTTCCTGTTATTAGTCATAGTTATCTTCTGCTGACTATGAGCAAACTGGAGGCCAGATCTGGGGTACCTTGTGTTGCCAATATTAAGCATTTTTTCTGTTGCACCAACCAGCCCCCGAGATATTTATCCTTACAATTATCTGCCAGGTAGGCAACAGCTATTACCTGGTTTTAAGATAGGGAGGAGAAGCTGAGGTATGGAAAGCTTCAGTAGGTCAGGGCTTGAACTAAGATCTTCTAAATCTGAGGTAATTGTGCCTCCTCTCTGTTCCATCTTTAAAAAATAAAGCACACATGTTAGTTCTGAGGCTCGCTTTCATCTTCTCCATTCTGCCTCCAGAAATCTTCACTCCTCCTCGCCGCACTGCGGTCGCCCTCGAAGAGTTGCACAAAGGCTGTCAGTCGCTTTGGTTCACTGTCATCAAATATTGAGAAAAAATAGGAACAATTACAAGTTTAATATTAAAAGAAGCAATTTCATTTCCTTTTTGGAGTCTATATAGTTTTTTTAATGCTACTGAAGAAGCAGAATACCTTGTGCCTGGTGAACAGGGCTCATTTACCTTAACTCAGACCTCAGCCCCAGCATGCAGGAGATGGGCAAGGGGGCACCTGGGACTGGCGTGGGCTGTGGCTCGGTTATGCAC